ACATCTGCTTCACAAAAGGTGAATGAATACCATATCAAACTATTGCTTCCTTAAATCTCCTCAAATCTAACATTTCCACAGGAATCCAGTCAGCTCTTACATAGCCTTGGGGATACCTGTCACTTGGCAGTTCCCCTAAGGTAACTGGATCAATTAAGGTTGGTTGTTTGAAAACCTTGCGCTGTTCCTCTCTAATCTTAAAATGTAATGCTGAGTTTGGTTCTCCTTTAAATTCCTGTCTTTATCTGAATATCTCTTAAGGCTTGTAACTTAAGAGTCAAAATGGCATATTTTCTTTAGTAACTTTTTCTAAAGCCTGTTTCTTGGCACTCATATCAACCAACTTGGCATTCACATCAACCAACATTTTTAGGGGTAAAACAAAAATAATCAAACCAAGCTGGATGGTGGTGGCGCACACCTTCAATCCCAGCACTCAGGAGGCAGAGGCATGTCTCTGAGTCTGAGGCCAGCCTGGTCTACAGAACTAGTTCCAGGATAGGCCCCAAAACTACACAGAGAAACTCTGTCTCAAAAAACAAAGAATACAAAACAGAAACAAAAAAAAAGAATCAACTCAATAGTGTTTATAATTGGACATTATGTAAGTCCAGTCTTAGTTAATTAGCCCTCATTTAATTGTTCCATTTCTAAAGCACTCATTGTGTAACACACAGAAACCTAACTCCCTCCATTGTAATCGTTTTTCCCATTTTTAACGTGGGAAAAACTTTTTTTTTTTTAAATCTAATTCTCCCCTTTAAGAATTCCCAATTGTCTCACCAAATCTGGTGATTATGGAGGTGACATGTAGCCCGCCTGAGTGGAGAACGGAGCGCAGGCAGTCAGCAGCTTGACTGCGGACAGCTGCGTCTGATGGAGCATCAGCAGCCTGAGGAGGGGGTCCAGGAAAAGCCCGCAACCCATGGGGGGAAAGAAGCCAAAGAGCCAGGTGTCTGCACGAGGGAATGCGTGAAAGCTGCTGACTCAGGCTGCAACAGAAAAATCCCAGACTCTTGGGGGAAATGGGGGGGGGGGATGTAACTGATGGTGTGGTGACTCTGCCTGGTGCAGTTCCTGCCACGTGCAGCTCTGGTGGGTGCCGGTGACTGCAAAACCATGGGAAAGCGGCTATTTTGTGAATTCGTGCTGCAAAAGTTGGACACCAGATGCAGTGTGAATCAATAAAAACCAGGAGTCGGATATGGGGTAAAAACCTGAAAAATCAGAGAACTGGGAGCAGCCTCTAATTGTTTCCTACCCATCCCCTTCCTGCATCCAAAAGGGGTTGAGATCCTGTCTGCACCCCATCTTGTCACTTCCTGTCTACACCCGCTGAGTGCTGGGATTAAAGCCATGTGCCACCACCGCCCAGCCTCTATGGTTAACCAGTGGCTAGCTCTGCTCACTGATCTGGCAAGTTTTGTTTGTCAGAACATAAACAGCGCACCCCACAACAAGACTCTCAGAGCTGCAGTTACAGGCACTTGTGGTCCGCCCTACAAGGGTGGGTGCTGGGAACTGGCCTCTGGTCCTCTCCAAGAACACCGAGGACTCTTAACGGCTGAGCCGTTTCTCCAGCCCCCTCGGATTGTTCTTTGTTTGTTTGGGGGTTTACTGTAGTCTTCTCCCAGGATTTGTTTTCTTTTGGCTCTGTGGAGCTGTCGTTGTGTTGTCTTGACTTCCGTGTTGACAAGCCAGCTGTCCCACTGTGGTTATCCTCTGCCATGTTAATCCCCTCCTTGCAGCTTGTGTACACATCAGGTTCTTCTGTCTTGTGTTGAACAGTGCCTCAGTGCCAGTTATTGCTGTAACAGAGCATCCCAGGATGTAGTGGCCTCAAGCAGTACCGATTCATTTAGCCTAAAATCTGCGGTCTGAGCAGAGCCCAGTGACAAGGACTCATTTCTCTGCAGAGCACCTGCTCGGACAGCTCGGCTGCACTTTTCTCTTCACAAGTGTCTTCATTCAGGGCCCAGGGATCTCCCCTGTTGCCCCAGCTCCCCATGACATGCCAGCCAGGTCCTGAGAGAGACATAGAAGCCTCCAGTATCTTCAAGGCTCTGTAAAGACACCGGGACAGCTTTGCTGTTTCTTATTGTGATAAAGCAGTGAGCCAACCGGGTCAAAGAGCAGTGTCACACAGATCCTGGTGGCTTGGTGAAGGGCATGCCAGAGAATTCGGAGCCCTTTGTACAGCCTGTACATGGTGGTAGATGTGGATTGGGATTTTTGTTTTTGTTTTTGACACAGGGTTTCTCTGTGTAAGAGTCCTGGCTGTCCTTGGAGCTCACTCTGTAGACCAGGCTGGCCACAAACTCACTGAGATCCACCTGCCTCTGCTGCCCGAGTGCTGGGATTAAAGATGTGCACCACTACCCTGCGATGGGGTTTTGTTTTTTAAAAGATTTATTTATGGTACAATGAGATGCCTCAATGGGTAAAGGTTCTTTCCATCAAACTTGACAATCCGAGTTTCAGTCTCTGGCTGACATGTGTATGTGTATACATACAAATAAATAAATTAATTAATAACATATTTTTCCAAAAATGACCTCTTTGCCTGTGTGTGGGAAGACAACTTTCAGGAATCCCTTTCTTCCTTGTGTCAATCCTATGAGGAGTCCTGGGCATCAAACTTAGGTCGTCAGGCTTGGCAGCAAGCCCCTTTACCCACTGAGCCACCTTGCCTGCCTTATTTTTAGTTTATTTTGGGTTTTGAAATAGGGTCACAGACTGTTGTTTAGGCAGCCGTGAAACTTACTCTGAGGCCTAGGATTCTCAGACTCACAACAATCTCTCCTGCATCAGCCTTCTGGGTGCTGGGACTATAGGTGAGTGCCATCAAACCCAGCTTTGGCATTTACATTTTTACATTTTGGGGTTTTTTTGTTTTGTTTTGTTTTTTGTTTTTTATATGGGGATGAACTTGGGGGATATAGGAAATCAACAGAGCTTTTTAAAAGTCTGTTTTAGAAAGTTTGAAGATATTAACCTTTCAAATAAGACTTCCGTCTGTTTCTTCTGCTCTGCATCTGGCCCCCTCTTGATGGTTTGTGTCTCTACTGTTTTTCCATATTTTTCCATTCTTTTCTGTCCCTACACTTGATTCTGTCTGTTTTCTGTGGACTCTTCTCCCGCTCACTAGTTTTCTCTTCAACACTGTCCAGTCTGCTGAACTTCAGCTTTTTCAGACAATGTCTCATGTGTCCCAGGCTGGCGTCAAGCTTGTCACATAGCTTAGGATGACACTGAATTTCCCGCCCTCCTCTGTGCTGGACATTGTTCTAAACAGAGCAGGTGAAGAAAAACCAAGTGTGATTACCTGGCTCACTGCCGCCGCCATGGTGGGCAGGAGAAGTCAAAACCTGCCAGGACTGAAGCCCAGCTTTCCTCCTCCTGTGCGCTGAGTGCTGGTGTTGTCTGCAGAGCAGGTGCTGCCTCTTGCTGCTGAGTACTTCACGTTGCTGCCCTCCCCATAAGAGCTCACTGGGCGCCGGGCAGTGGTGGCGCACACCTTTAATCCCAGCACTCGGGAGGCAGAGGCAGGTGGATCTCTGTGAGTTTGAGGCCAGCCTGGTCTACAAGAGCTAGTTCCAGGACAGGCTCGAAAGCTACAGAGAAACCCTGTCCCGAAAAACAAACACACACACACACACACACACACACACACACACACATAAAAGAGATCGCTGTCCAGTGATGGCAGATGACTTTAATCTCAGTACTCTGGAGGCAAAGTCAGGCAGATCTCTGAGTTCAAGGCCAGCCTGACCTACAGAGTGAGCTCCAGGACAGTCAGGGCTTCACAGAGAAACCCTGTCTCGAAATACCATACTGGTTTGTTCCTATAGTCGTTCTGTTAAGAACTGTGACCGGCATAGACCAGGCTTGGTGGTGTTTGCTGAGGGCACCCCAGGCCATACTGGAAGTCATACTGTGAAGGTCATGCTGCTTCCTCAGGATCCTCACGGTAGTGCAGATAATCTGTGTCATGTTTCAGATGGGCTCAGAGAAGGGACAGGGTTTACTGAAGTCACACAGCACTTTGTAGCAGAACTGAACTCAAACCCAACTCCTTTTCAGTAAACAGAATTTTGTTTTCTGATTAGAAAAATAGTGCATATGCTCACTAGAGAAATTTAGAAATAAGAGAAATGGGTAGGAATGTTACATTTATTCTGCTTCTGTACACATTTTGACACATCTTTACAGTTCTTTTTGCATAGTTGACATCACTTTGTGTTATATGTTATTTATATTCTGCTTTTTCAATTGTTACAAAATAAATCTCTCCCTGTTCTTTTAAAATAATTTATTACATTTTAATATTGTATTTGGTGATGTCACAGTGTAGAGTGGGGGTCATGTCTCAGTGTACAGTGGATGCCAAGGTCATATCACATGTAGAGCGGGGGTCATGTCTCAGTGTAGAATGGAAGTCAGAGGGCAACTTTTAGGTATGGCTCCCTTCTATGTGGGTTAGGGTTAGGAGTTAGGGGTTAGTGGTTAGGGTTAGGATGTTAGGGTTAGGGCTTAGTGCTGGGGTTAGGGTTGTTAGGTATGGCAGTGGATGCATTTACTCACTGGGTTATTTTGCTAGCCCCTCCCTATTACATTAAACCATTTTAAATGGCTGTGTAATGTCCATCGCATAGATGATTGAGCCGTAACTCACATGGTACCCTGTTGCTGGCCATCTAGGTTAGCTATCACTTAATTCTGACCATATACAAAGAGCCAGAGTTTGAGACTGAGGCTCAGAATGTGGCAACCAAAGCAGAGATTTCCATCACCAGAGGAAGACTTTACACACAATTAAGTTCAAAGTAAACTCTATTTTTGCGTTTGCTGTTGGAGCAAGGGGATCAGGCTGCAGCCTGGGGCAGTGGGTGGCTTGTTTGCGGCATCCAGAGTCTGACTATGGTGGGTACTACCCCTAGTTGGCTCACCTTCTGTCCCCATGGCTCACCTTAGTGGCCCCTCTTCCTTGGCGGCAGACTGTTCCAGCTGGAGTCAGAGGCGGACGCCCTGGTGAACTTCCAACAGTATTCCTCCCAGCTGCCGCCCTTCTACGAGAGCTCCATGCAGGTCCTGCATGTGGAGGTGCTGCAGCACCTGTCCGACCTCATCCGCAGCCACCCCAGCTGGACGGTGACACACCTAGCGGTGGAGCTGGGCATCCGGGAGTGCTTCCATCACAGCCGCATCATCAGGTGGGCGGTCGGGCCGTGGGGGTGCGTGTTGTGTGGGGCTGGGCCACTGGAGTGTGGTGGGGGGTGTGATCGTCCCTGTGCAGTACACATGCTGCGTGTATGGAGTCTCCCCACTCAGTCTTTGTTGTGTCTGTGGCTCGGGTAAGAACGGAGCAGCACTGCCCTGGCTCACGAGTGGACATTGACTACAGTCAGAAGGAAATGCAAACACGGAGTTCTCTTTTTTTTGTTTTGTTTTTTGAGACAGGGTTTCTCTGTGGCTTTGGAGCCTGTCCTGGAACTAGCTCTGTAGACCAGGCTGGTCTCGAACTCACAGAGATCCACCTGCCTCTGCCTCCCTAGTGCTGGGATTAAAGGCGTGCGCCAACATCGCCCGGCTAAACACTGAGTTCTTTCAACTACTCAGTCACCTCAGAGAGAGGCTCTGGAACCAGGCTATTCAATAGGAGAAGGCTGCATAGGGGCTCGGGCCATAGTCTCCTTCCCAAGCCCCGCTGTTCTCCTGGAAGCTTGGGTGGCCTCTTTTATATCCATCTAGTCAATGCTGTATCTGCAGATTCCCTAAAGAGGTCTCCTTGGATGTCCTTGCAAGTCACTGCCTGGCCGCCGCATACTTCTCTGTTCAATGCCTGGGTTCTAGCTGAAACCTCACCAAGCTGGGCATGGTAATGTGTGCCTTTAGTTTTAGCACTTGGGGGGCAGAGGCAGACAGATCTCTGTGAGTTCGAGGCTGGCCCGGTCTACATAGTGAGACCTTATTTCTAAAACAAAACCAAAACCTCTCTCTGAGCTCTCCAGCTTTCATGCATGACCTTGGGCACCCTGGTGTCCCATCTCCCAACAATTCCTGGAGTACAATGGCTCAACAAGTGTCTGTTACGTGACCCTTTTCTGTGCCATCCTCTTGCCCCCTCATGCTGGCATAGCCCAAGGGCACATCTCCCCACAGGTGAGCAGAATGCACTGCAGCCTGGCACAGCTCAGCAGACACAGCACAGTGGCTCTGGCTGAGCTGGGGCTTGAGTCGCCCCAGAACCCCCAAATCTTGCCTGGATTCTGCTTCTGCACTTGGGCTTCTTAGCATCCCTGCTTTTGGTCCCCATCTTATCACTGCCCACCCCACCCCCAATAGCTGCGCCAATAGCACAGAGAATGAGGAGGGCTGCACCCCACTACACCTGGCCTGCCGCAAGGGTGACAGTGAGATCCTGGTGGAGTTGGTACAGTACTGCCACGCCCAGATGGATGTCACCGACAACAAAGGAGAGACCGCCTTCCATTATGCTGTACAAGGGGACAATTCCCAGGTGCTTCAGGTGAGTGTTGGGTAATGGGCAGGGGACCAAACAACCAGGCACCTCCTTGTGCCCGAAACTTGCTTGGGGGCCTTAGGTTCATGGGTCACTCTGAGGCTTCTCACTCAGCCATCCTTAATCCCTGAGGCTTCATCCTTCCCCCCATTCTCACCCTTCACCCCATGATGCTGAGAGGGAGACATACCTTTAGCCATGGAGTTTCTCCAGCTCAGCAAGCTGAACTTCATGGAAACTCCAGTCAGGCATGAAGCTCAGGAGCTCAGACCCTGGGCTGGGTGCATCAGGTCAGCCCTTGCTCAAGGCACACTGAATCTTAACCTAGTTTATGGGAACTGCCCAGCACCTAAAGGTGTTAGTGCCAGAGACACTCGTGTTGATTCTGTAAGTTCTAGAACAGAAGCTGTTTTAAGGTTTTTTTTTGTTTTTGTTTTTTTGTTTTTTTGATTTTCGAGACAGGGTTTCTCTGTAGCTTTTTTGGTTCCAGTCCTGGAACTAGCTCTTCTAGACCAGGCTGGCCTCGAACTCCCAGAGATCTGCCTGCCTCTGCCTCCTGAGTGCTGGGATTAAAGGCGTGCGCCACCACCGCCCGGCTTAAGGTTTTTTTTAATGTATTATTTTTATGTGTATGGGTGCTTCGCCTGCATGTATGCCTGTGCACACCATGTTTCCTGTGCCCGTAGAGGCCAGAAGAGGGTGACAGATCTCCTGGAGCTGAAGTCACAGACACTTGTGAGCTGCCCTGTGGGTGCCCTCTGGAAGAGCAGCTAGTGTGCTTGCGTGCTGAGCCATAGTCTAACCAGGAGATGGAGTGGTGCTGTTGAGAAGCCACCGTTAAGTGGAAAGGAAAGGCAGACACTCAGCTCGTGTTTTATTGTCTAGAAGGAGCAGGTCCATCTGCAGGTTCTGTCCTCTCTGCTTGGCATCTGGATTGTTCTAGAAACACACATCTGTGTCTTGTGCAGTCCAACAGAAGGCATGCCCAGTGCTGGAGGAGGAACAGCAGTGTGCTTGGCCAGTGGTCATGCATCGCACCTACCTCCGACGGATGCTGGCTGTGCCTGCATCATGTGTTCTAGTCAATTCTCAAAATGCTCTCCTGGGTTGGAGTTGTCTTTTCTTCGTACTGGAAACTGAGGTTTGGTAGAAGCAAACAATGTGGTCCCTGAGGGCCACCAACCTGGGGATAGGGCAGGCTGGCCTAAGCTTCCCCCATGTTGCCAGCTCCTTGCCCCACTTCTGGGTCCCCAGCCTTCCTCGTGTCACAGCTGTCCCCAGTGGTCATAACTGTCATCAGGGAGAGGGCATTGAGCTCCTCGTGAGAGGACAAAATCCTTCCCGCTTCCTGTTAGCACAGTCATGCTGGGTGTCTTTGGGTGGGCTTCATCTCTGAAGGAAAATTACATCCGTGTTTGGGCAATTTTTCCTCATCATTATTTCCTAAAAACACAGCACAAACAACTATTCATCTAGCCGGACAGTGGTGGCACACACCTTTAGTCCTAGCACTCGGGAGGCAGAGGCAGGCGGATCTCTGTGGGTTTGAGGTCAGCCTGGTCTGCAGAGTGAGTTTCAGGACAGCCAGGGATGTTACACAGAGAGACCCTGTCTTGAGAAAGGAAAAGCAAAGCAAAACAAACAAGTGTCAGCTAGTGTTCACATTGTATTAGACTATAGACGCCATCTAGAGATGACCACAAGTCCTATGGGGCGTGCAGAATGTAATCCCAGCTAGCTAGGATGCCAACACAGTTCCAGTCCAGCCTGGACAACACAGTGGCTCCCATATGACAAAGTACATGGGAGGGTATGTGTGGGCTCTTTGCAAAATAACCATTCCATACAAAAGACTCAAGTACCTTAGGATTTGGGTAGACAGGAAGAGGCAGTACCAGGGATTGGACTCAGAACCTTATGCATGCCAGGTGAGCATTCTACCACTAGGTCATGTCGAATTCTTTTCCTGAAAGCACAATACCTGCATGCAGAGACATATCCTGCAGCACTGAAGGAATCCCACTTCCCTTTCTGTTGCTGTACTCTGACCAAAAGCAATTTAGGGGAGAAAAGAATTTACTTGGCTTACACATCTAGATCACAGTTTGTCACAGAGGAAAGTCAAGGCAGGGACTCAAGCAAGGACTGAAGCAGAAACCACGAAGCACCACTGCTCCCTGGCTCCTCACTTGCTCCTCGTGCTTGGCTTAGCTAGGTGTGAGACCACCTGCCTGAAGATGGAGACCCCAGTGGGCTGGGCTCTCCTGCATCAGTAAGACAGTCCCTCAGAGATATGCCCACAGAGTAACGTGACCCGGACCATTACTCAGCCGAGGCGTCTCCTCTCCCAGGACTCTAGGCTGGGTCACATTGACGAGACTAAGCAGGACAGAAGGACATCTGGTGGGCAGCAAGAATTGTTCCACCTAGAAAACTTAAGGTTCTTTTGGTTGTTCTTTTTATACAGTCTCATGCAGCTCAGACTGGCCTGGAACTCACTGTGTAGTCTAGAGTAGCTTTTAACTTCATCTTCTGCCTCAGTCTCCCCAGTACCAGGATTACAGGCACGTGCTACCACACCTGGGTAAACATTCTTCAGAAATGTCCACATGAGCCACAGTCAGGCCGGGTTCCCGCCCCACACCCCAACCTCATTGTTAGGCTTTCTTATCTGCCCGAGTGCTGTTCATGCCGTTGCTCCCCTTTATTCTCGTGGAGTTGAATGTCCTTTCCGTGTCAGGAGGGCGATGGTCCCTGGGGTGCTAGAGAGAGGCACGGCAGGCAGCTTACCTGTGTTGTCCTGTCAGCTCCTAGGGAAGAACGCCTCGGCCGGCCTCAACCAGGTGAACAAGCAGGGGCTGACCCCGCTGCACCTGGCCTGCCAGATGGGCAAGCAGGAGATGGTGCGTGTGCTGCTGCTCTGCAATGCCCGCTGCAACATCATGGGACCCGGCGGCTTCCCCATCCACACAGCCATGAAGTTCTCCCAGAAGGGGTAAGGCTCGCCCTCACATGACCCCACCCCTGCAGGGCCAAGATGGGGGCCCTGGTTCAAGTCTCCTCAGCCAAGGGTGCTCTTAGGTGGTGGTGGTGGTTTTGTTCTTCACCCTCCACCCTTTCCTCTTTGGACTCTTTTGGGGGGCCCGCCACCTCGCTCCCAAATAAATCACACACAGAGGCTTATTCTTACTTATTTGTGCCCAGCCTTAGCTTGGCTTGTTTCTTGTCCACTTTTCTTAAATTATCCCGACTACCTTTGCCTCTGGGCTTTTTGTTTTCTTCTGTGTATCTTAATTTCACTCTGACTCTGTGTCTGGCCCCTGGTGTCCTCCTCCCCTGTTCTAGCTTGCTCCATCTTTTCCCTCTTCTTTCTTTTTCTCCTGTTTTCTCCTATTTATTCTCTCTGCTGCCAGCCCTGCCTGTCCTTTCTCCTGCCTCACTATTGGCTGTTCAGCTTTTTATTAGCTCATCAAGTGTTTTAGACAGGCAAGGAATCACAGCTTCACAGAGTTAAATAAATCAGCATAAACAAAAGCAACACACTTGAAATAATATTTCACAACAATGTGGTAGCTGTACACCCAAGTCCAGAAACTGCTGTGCAAAGAATAGACCATTTACAGTTTTGTGCTAATGCATCCGGGTTTCTGATCGTGAGCCTTTACTCCCCTGTGCTGCCCAGCCAGACCAACATCTGGGGTCAGTTGGTTTTCCCCCGGGCTCCTGTGCTAAGCACTGGCCTTGAGAAATGAATTAGAGGAGCCCTGTCCATGGAGCAGGCCAGACTCGAGCCTTCTCCTCACAGCACTGGACTCCAGTGTCCTGGAGTGCAGAGGGGAAGCAGACAGGTGGGCTAGGGACAGGTGTGACCTGATGGACACCAGGTGACACATGCTTGCCTGTGTGGGCCTCCTCGGTGCCCTTGGTGCATCCCGAGTCACAGTCCAGTGACGACCTTTGTGCCGAGAACGCAGTGTGGGGACTCTTTGTCTTGTTCTCTTTGTTTCTGTTTCATTGGGTTCTGCTCTAATTTTTATTGTTTCTGGCTGTCCCCTGGGTTTGGAGTTAGCTTCTTCTTGTGTTTTCAAATTCTTGAGTTGTAGCATTGAGTCATTTATTAGTGTTCTTTTTGATTTTTCAGTGTAGGCACTCAGAATTATAAGTTTTCCTCCTAGACTGCCTTTTTTAATGTGTCCCAGTGGTTTTGTGTTGTGGTTTTTTTTTTTTTGTTTTGTTTTCATGTAGTTCCAGGATTTTTTTCCCTGATTTTTTTAATTGACCTACTCATCATCCATTAGTGAATTATTTAATCTCTGTGAGTTTCCATGATGGAGATCTTCTGCTTAGTGTGAGGGTACTCCCTCTCCTCTGCTTGGTTGTGAGTGCTCCCTCTCCTCTGCTTAGTGTGAGAGTGCTCCCTCTCCTCTGCTTGGTGTGTGAGTGCTCCCTCTTCCTTATGCCCTCACCAGCACTGGGTCCGATTATGTTTTGATAGTAGCTGCCCTCACAGACAAGAGATGGGATCTCAGTGGTTCTCATTTGCATTTTCTGGTGGTCATTGAGGTTCAACAGCCTGCCATAGACCTGTTGTCATGGACCATTTTTATGTCTTCTTTGGGGAAATGTCTATTTGGGTCTATAAAGTGAAGTTCCCAGGCAGGGAAAGCCATTCCCATGTCGGAGATTCTACAAGACTGTGTAATGGATTAGAATGTTTTGATTGTGCATAGAATTCTGAGATCCAAAGCCAAGATCTCTTGGTCAATCTTCAAAACAAAACAAAACAAAACAACCCAAAACCAAAACAGGCTGACCTTGAATTCCTGATTCTCCTGCCTCTGCCTTCCAAGTGCTGAGATTCTAGTCACGTGTCACCACACTTGATGCTATTTTGGACATCCTTTAGTCCCCCTTAACAGCTATTCATGCCCATCTCTGTCCATCAGGTGAAATAGCACATCACTAGCTTCCAACCAACCCCCAAATAAGCATGTCACCATTAGCAGATAAGCCATGGCAGGGATTTGCCAACCTTGCTGTAACCCGCCTGTAACACTCCAGGCCACAGCTGATAAATTATTTGCTTAAAAATTTTTATGTTTGGGGCTGGAGATATGGCTCAGTGGTTAAGAGCACTGACTGCTCTTCCAGAGGACCCGGGTTCAATTCCCAGCACCCACATGGCAGCTCACAACTGTCCGAAGATCCAGTTGCAGGGGATCTGACACCTTCACACCAATGCACATAAAATAAAGTTAAATAAAGCATACAAATATTAAAAAAAAAAAAACTAAAACCAAACCAAACACTTTGAAAAAAAAAAAAAAATTTATGTTTGGCCGGGCAGTGGTGGTGCATGCCTTTAATCCCAGCACTTGGGAGGCAGAGGCAGGCGGATCTCTGTGAGTTTGAGACCAGCCTGGTCTACAAGAGCTAGTTCCAGGACAGTCTCCAAAACCACAGAGAAACCCTGTCTCGAAAAACCAAAAAAAAAATTATGTTTATTTAATTTTATTTTATGCATGTGAATGTTGTGCCTTTTTGTATCTTTGCCCCTCTATGCATGCATGCAGTACCCATAGAGGCCAGAAGAGGGCATCAGCCACACTGAAACAGGAATTGCTCTTTTTTTTTTTTTTTTTTTTTTTTTTTTTTTTTTTTTTTTAGTTTTTCGAGATAGGAATTACTGTTCTTAGCCACCATGTGGGTATGGGGAATCCAGCCCAGGTCCTCTGGAAGCACAGCAACCAATGTCCTTAAGTTCCGAGCCAGCTGTCCAGCCCTGTGACTTGCTGCTACTGCTGCCTCCTCCCCCTCCCCTCTCTTCCTTCCTTCCTTCCCTCTTCCTCCTCCTCCTCCTCCTCCTCTTCTTCCTCCTCCTTCTTCCTCTTCCTCTTCTTCTTCTTCTTCTTCTCCTTCTCCTTCTCCTCCTCCCCTCCTCTCTTCTCCTCCTTTTCCTCCTCCTCCTCTTCTTCTTCTTCTCCTCCTCCCCTCTTCTCTTCTCCTCCTTTTCCTCCTTCTCCTTCTCCTCTTCTTCTTCTTCTTCTTCTCCTCCTCCTCCTCCCCTCCTCTCTTCTTCTCCTTTTCCTCCTTCTCCTCCTTTTCCTCCTCCTCCTTCTTCCTCTTCCTCTTCTTCTTCTTCTTCTTCTCCTTCTCCTCCTCCCCTCCTCTCTTCTCCTCCTCTTCCTCCTCCTCCTCCTCTTCCTCCTCCTCCTTCTCCTCCTCCTCCTCCTCCTCTTCTTCTTCTTCTTCTTCTTCTTCTTCTTCTTCTTCTTCTTCTTCGAGACAGGGTTTCTCTGTATAGCTTTGGAGCCTGTCCTGGAACTAGCTCTTGTAGACTAGGCTGGCCTAGAAATCACAGAGATCCACCTGCCTCTGCCTCCCGAGTGCTGGGATTAAAGGCATGTGCCACTACCGCCCAGCTGTGACTTGCTTCTTATAGTTATTGTTATGCTTGTCTTGCATTTATCTCTCTGTTCATGTGCAGCCCGGGGATGAAGTGGTCCTCAGGCACAGCAGTAAGCTCTTTTAGCCGCTGCACCATTTTGTGCCCCACCCCCACATGCTTTTGGAGAAAGGCCTATGCAGTGTAGTCCAGCCTTGCCTGGAATTTGGAATCCTCCTGCCCCAGCATCCTGAATGTTGGGATTACATTAATTAGATTTGTAATCCCAACCACAGTTGGCCTTAGTTTTCAGTTTTTACCCTGGCACATAGGTTGCCTTTTTATTTTGTTGGTTATTTCATTTGCTGTGTATCAGTTTTTCAGTTTAATATAGTTGTGTTTATTTATATTTGCCTTGGTGTGTTATCTCGGAGGTCATCGTCAGGCCAGATGGTTGGCCGTTTTGCAGCCCCATGTCATGACTGGCGCAGTGTGCCCTCACTGCCCCGCTCTCTTCCAGGTGTGCTGAAATGATCATCAGCATGGACAGCAACCAGATCCACAGCAAGGATCCTCGCTACGGAGCCAGCCCGCTCCACTGGGCCAAGAACGCCGAGGTAGGCAGAGCCGGCGGACGAGGGGCTGGGCAGGTCCCGAGGAGACAACTGAGAGGATTATAGTGGCCCCTGGTGACAAGTCAGAGGTGCCCAAGAGTTGAGGTCCCACTGCTGTCCTGCTGCTCATCGCTGGTGGCCTTAATTCCTTTGTCCATGACTGACTTTGGAGGTCTTGGGAAGTTAGCAAGGCAGTGCATGCAAAATGACACTTCACATGTAGGAGGGGGCAGTGGTGATATGTCCATTGGGCACAGCAGCTCACACAGAGAGCCTGTAGCCACCCAAGCTGAGGTCTCTCCCGAAGCGCTCCAGTGGCTCTGCCCTCCTGAAAGGATGCCCAGGTAACCTAACCTGGCAACACATGCCGGCCACCAACACCCCAGGCTGTACTTGCATGTGACGGGCAAGAGGGCTGAGCTGCTACCTTTGTGGGACACCAGTTTGTTCAGACATGTTCCTTCAGTGCCAGATCTGTGAGGCATGAAAGTGTGTCATGTGTCAGGTCTGAGGAAGGAGCTGCAGTGACGGATCCAGGCTCAGGCTGCAGGAAGGGTGGATGGGGCTTTAGGCTCAGCATCGTCCTCTCCATAGTTCAGAGTGAGCCAGGATACCATGCAAAGGCGCCTGAGACATATCCCATGGAGGACTTAGGGTGTTGGCGCTGTGGGACCTGGTCCAGAGACCCCTTTGTAACTTCAGGAAAGGACCAGAAGAAGCTTCTAGAATCACCTGTTTGTCACCTAGTTCCTAGCTCCCGGTGTGTGGGGTCTCAGGTCTAGAGTCTACCTCTGAGCTTGTCTTCCTTTGCTTACACTGGAGGATGCTCAGGAGGCTACCCCTGAGTGCCCACCTGGTCTGTGTCCCCAGATGGCCCGAATGCTGCTGAAGCGCGGCTGTGACGTGGACAGCACAAGCACCGTGGGAAACACAGCCCTGCACGTGGCGGTGATGCGCAACCGCTTTGACTGTGTCATGGTGCTGCTGACCTACGGGGCCAACGCAGGTGCCCGTGGAGAGCATGGGAACACGCCACTGCACCTGGCCATATCGGTGAGCCTGTGGCCACATGGCCTCCCTGTGCTGGCTCTGCCAGCTGAGGTGGGGGTGTGGGAGGAACAATAGAGGCACCGTGTTGGCTCACCCCCTCCTTTCCTCGGCTGCTGCATCATCAGACATGCTTCCTCCTAAGGCCCAGAGTACCTGGTGGCAGCCACTGGTTTGTTAGGAAATAGACTTCAGCCTTAAAGCATCTCTAGTGGGATGAGACAGCAGTGTGAGCCTGCTTAGCCATGGCAGGAACAGCCCTGTCTGCTGTCCGTCTAGTCTCAGACGGGACTGAGGGAAGCAGTCGGTCACAGTCCTGGTACTTATTCTATAGATCAGGCTGGCCTCAAACCCACAGAGATCCGCCTATCTCTACTTCCCAAGAGCTGGGATTAAAGGTGTGTGCCACCACCGCCCGGCTATGGGGACCATTCTTGTTCAAACCGCCACACCATGGCTCCCGGGTTGTCAGCCCAGGTGCCTTGCTTCCTGTGAGGAAGAGCTGGGGTGAATCTTTCTGTGCCAAGTCCTGCACAGCTGGTCCTTGAACCTTGACTGGGTGATGCGGGAAAGAAGAAAGAACAGATGGCACACAGAAAAGCTGGAGCAGGATGGACTACGCTGGCTCCGCTGGGTCAACTGCAGGGTAACAGGACTCAGACGCTGCTCATTGGTTATGTGCAGCACAAAGGGGAGGGGCTAGCTGGACTCAGTTGGGGTCACTGTGGGGGCAAGGGCTCAGGTTGCCTTCATATGGGAGGAGGAAGCTGTGGTTGCTAGTTTTTGCACACACTGTCAACTTCCACAAACTAGAGGAAGACTGAACTTGGGAAGACTTTGAGCTTCCCATGGACCTGAGGCATTGGGGTCCTTGTCATGCCCAGTTAGTAATCCATGTCCACCCAGGATTCCGGCTGCTCCAGTGTTCTTCAAACACTTCTCTTACCGCTGACACAGTAATCCAAATCAGACCAAATCAAACCGAATTAGAAGCCTAGGTTTAATGGATGCCTGGGCTCCCAAGTGTACCTCTGGGAAAACACCGAGAGGGGGAAGGAAAACCAGGAAGACGGCCGTCTGTCTGGGGGACAGTTTAAATAGCATGTGGGAGTGGTCTTGACCCTCTCTGGGGAGGGGGTCACCGTTTGGTGGGTCTTCCGGAGGTGGAGTCTGGACTGAGGCTTGAAATGGAGCCTCCACCCAACATTTCAAAATGGATGCCAGGAGCTGGGGTGAAGCCCCCCACCCAAACATTCCAGACTGTTTGGATAAGAATGTTAGGGGCTGAGGTGACGCTTCCAACCAAACAACTTCCATTTTCTTCGTCTTAAGCCCTCACTGAGGGGTGCACTGAAGGCATTCTTTGTCCTGTCAGGAGGCCCCAGAGTCTCCTCATGCCACTGAGAGGACTTGTGAGCAAGTTAATGGACTCTTTATTCTTCTCACCTTCCACCCCAACAGAAAGATAACATGGAGATGGTCAAAGCCCTCATTGTATTTGGGGCAGAAGTGGACACCCCAAATGACTTTGGGGAGACTCCTGCATTCATGGCCTCCAAGATCAGCAAACGTATGTGCTCTGCCATCTGGGATCAGAGCTGGGGGGTGGCGGTATAGAGACTGAGGAGGGACGTCCCAGCTGTAAGGTGTCAGACTGGCCCTGTTCCCTGCCGAGTGGCCAGGAGTGTATGCAGATCAAAGGGGGCCTCCTTCCCCAAAGACAGGGATGCAGGCCCACCAAGGGCTTGCTGAGCATGGTCCTCACCTCACGGTGAGGGTGTTCAGGCTCTCAGTGGGATGGGCTCAGGTGTGCAGCTCCAGAGCAAGCAAGCATGGGGTCATTGCATGTGCCGTGCATGTCCACATATGCCCATACTTTGTACGTGCTGGGTGCATGCATAGACTCGCATGTGCATTGATGTCCTGTCCACCATGATCAGCTTCAGAGTTGTAGGAGTCAGCTTCCCTTCACAGACCCTCCTGAGGGCTTGCGGGAGTGTGGGGTCAGCGTGGGTGTGGCCCAGATGGTTTGACCTCTTCTCCCAGCAGAGAGCTCAACCCCACCATTGGCTTAAACAGCCTAGATGGTCCCTCCCCTCCTTTCCCCTCCTCCCTTCTCCAGTTTTGCTCAATCTTGGGTTCAGAACCAACCCTGCAGAAAAGACACAGAGCCCAAGATGGAAGTAGGCAAAGGTGCTAGCTGTGGCATCCTTTCCGGGTCTCCTCTGGCTCATCCCTCTGAGAACTGCTGACCATGGAATTAGTTGCTTTGCATCATAGCTGGTGTAGAAGGAGAGGGGATGCCCACAGTAACTAGGATGACTCTGATCCCCTCGTACCCCACAGTCCTCCTTAGCCCTTTCCCTGGTGCCAGAAGGCTGCTTTGATGCAGCAGACCAGCCAGCTTGCTAGTCAGGGTAGTTCCTCCACACAGCCAGGTCACCTGCTAGATGCGAACCATTTGCAAAGAGGGGGTCTCACTTTCTAGTTGACACCATGTCTGCTCTCTGCCATCTCTCCTTCCCAAACCCTGACAAGTGATTACCAGGAAGGCGCTCTTGAGTCTGCTGAGAACTGTGGGGGCCGACCACCGCTTCCCACTCATCCAGGGGGTCCCCACGGACCAGAGCTCTGCAGCAACACCTCACCCCTTCTTCTCTCTGGACAAAACTCAGCCCCCAGAGATCAGCTTAAACAGCCTAGGTAGGCCACTGCTTTCCTTCCCCGCTCCTCAGCTCTGTCTGGGCCCTCGAATCCCAGCAGCCCCCAAAAGGATAATGGCTTCAGGGCGGAAGTAGTTGAAGGGAGGAGAGCCAAGCTTTATCAGCCAGTGTAGGCCACCAAATGACCCACACATCCCTGAGGTCTACCAGGTCCAGCATTCCTGAGAAAATGCCCTGAACATTGGCTTAGGGAAGCCATTTCTCATGGCACCTCTCAGGTGGGCACTATCACCGCCTCTGGTTCCCTGGGAGGGAAGGGTGGGTGGTAAGGAGTGCTGCTAGGTCTCCTGGCTTCAGCGCTCACATTGTTTGAATCTGTCTGGCTTGAGACGTGATGTGCCCCCTGCTGGCTCCTTCAGTTACTTCAGGCTTTTGGAGTGGCCAAGAAGCCACTGGTGCCCTTGGAGACAGTCCCAGAGTAGATGGGGACCCTGTTCAGGGCCTTCTGTGTTCTGGACCACACAGGGACCTAGAATGTTTGGGAGTAAGAATCCCTAAACAGAACTGAGTCTTACCCATCCAAAGCTCTCAAACCGTGGAGGTAGAAGCCCAAAGCCCAGCCCCTCTTGCCAGCCTAGCCAGGCCTGGAGCTCTGGAGGGCAGAAAACCTGAAATCCCTAGCACCCCATCTTTCTCTCTCCGCTTACAGGCAGGCAGTCACTCAAACCAGGATGGGCCTGGGTGCGGCGGTGAATGGGTAATGCCTAAGCCTAGAGAAGCCGCTGAGCCCGCCCTGCCCAGTGTAGCTAGAGCTCTACACCCCACTCCCCCTTCTCAAGCTGCACACCCAGCATAGGCACCACCCCTACACCCTGTCCTTGACACCCATCTGCTGCCTTGCTGGCCAGTCTCCTGCATGTGTCCCTTGCCTGCTCTGTGGCATGTGCCTGCTAGGGGAGGCACTGCTGGCACCCACCTACCTTGCTGCCTGTAGCTTCACTGCACCGTGGCTGTCAACCTCATCACGCAGGGCGACCTGGAGGGTTGGTGTTGGGGCTAGTGCGCAGAGGAAGACTAAACTGAAGGTCTGCCATCAAGGCATGGGTGACTGTTGGTAGCATCAGCTCGGACATCGGCCCGGGACACAGCTGGGAGGTCAAGCTTCAGGGTGATAGGAGGGGTTCCAGGAGTTTCTGGGAGCTAGCTGGACCGGTGGAGAGTCTCCCCAAAGCAGCAGGCCCCCTCCTCATTCCAGCTTGCCCTTGCCTAGCAGGTCCGTGGCATCGAGCATAGCTTTATCCTAGGGCAGAGAGCCCCTCCTAGGGCAGGAGGCAGACAGTGGGGGCGTTGGAGTGTGAGTTCAGCCACAGGTGGAACTTAGCCATGAGGAGATGTATAGCAGGATGGGGCACAGTTCTGTTTGCTCTAGAGACCCCCCTGCTGGCTCCAGAGTGTCCTGCCCTGTTCCCACAGAGCTTCAGGACCTCATGCCCATCTCCCGAGCCCGGAAGCCGGCATTCATCCTGAGCTCCATGCGGGACGAGAAGCGAACGTAAGTAGAGTGAGGGACAGGCTGATGTGTGGAACTTCTGCTGCCCTCACCCCGCTCCTAGCTGCGCAGGCATGGTAGAGACAAGTCTGGACCTGTGGCGGCTCATCAGTGACAGATGATGTCCCATCCGGAGCCCAGCATGGGGTCACACAGCAGGGTTGAGCTTGCGCTCATGCAGTGTGGTCTCGTGGTCTTTTTCCTTGGCCTATGGTTTATGGGCAGAAGGTTGACCGAACCCCTACTGGAGAGATGCCTGCATCTGCTTCCCTCTGCTGCCAGCTCCCAACCTGCCTTCCTCCCTCCTCAGACCCAGTGCTTCGCCGTTGTGTGCCCTGGCATTGTAGGCGGTAGGCCTGGGAGAAGGGTCAGAGATAGAGGTCGGAATCCTGTCGTGGTCACCAAATTTACCAGGAGACACCCCAAACCATAGGTCTTATACTCTGGGACCAATCCTTGTCTGCATTAAGAGAAAATCCTGATATTTATACATATATGTCTATGTATATACATGTATATGTGTCTAGATATATATCTACATATGCACGTGCATATGTGTTCATATATGCATGTATGTTTGTGTCCATATATGTGCATGTATATGTACAGATATGTATATGTCTATATATCTACACATGTATATATGTACATATAGGTATATGTATCTCTATATGTGTACATACACACACGTGTATGTATATATATATATATATATATATATATATATATATATACTTGGAAAATTTTACAGTTTTGGAAAAGATAGGCAAGCCTTTTGATCTGTTTCTGCTTTGGACACAGTGCTCCAACTTAGAGAAAAGAACTGAAGTCAGGAGATATGCACATGTGTGTTGTGCTGTGGGCCAGAGTTATGGGAACTGGGAGAGAAGTGTCTTCTGGTGCTAGGGGCCAGGACCCACTCCCAACCTTGTATTAATATTCTTGTAGATATCCTAATTCCTAGTGCCCCACCAACATTGAATACTTCCAAATCTTGGTCTTGGTGCACAGCCCTGGTGAACACTGGCCAGCGCATTCAGTGGCCAGGACAGGGACTGGCCATTTCTACAGCCTCCCTTTGTTGCCCTGTACCGTTGTCCAGTCTTTGTCCCACTGCTGCTGGGCGCCTTCCTGGAGGAATAGTCGTCTGGCTTAGTAGATACCTAATGTGAGCCCCTGAGAGGTGAGTCAGAGTGGGGGTCCCCACTCAGGCCATCCAGGGTTCCTGTCCTCTTGGGAGCACATACTGTGTGCTTGCAGAGAACTTACCCTTCTTGACATCAGCCAAGCTTCTGCTCCTGTGGCCTGGAAGTCTTGCTTGGAGGTGTGAACCTCCTGGGGCACAACCCGCCCCTCATTTCCATGGCCACTGCTTGCATATGCTTCCATACGCCCTGGAAATATACCTACTCTGTTCCTGACCCTTGCTTCCATGGTGCCTCCTGCAGTCACAAACCATTTCATAGGCTTGCACATATGCATAAACCTCTGTTGAGGCCCAGGCAGAGCAGCTGTACCCGCGGGAAGAGGGAGAGCTCCTGACCAGAGCGGGAGGAGGACCGCTGACTCCTCAGTAGTCCAGGGTGTACCTGCAAGGGCCGTGTGTGAAGAGTTAGGAGACCCTTGAAGGACCCACAGGAATATTAACCTCAGCCCTGCACTATGGGTAACCTTGCTCTTGCCAGACCTATGTTCTGAATCTTGCTTGTTTGCTCAAGCCTTTCGGCTGGGGCTCTCCAGACTTCCATCATCTTCACTGCTGCCCCTGAACTCTCTGAGCTCCCTGAATGGCCAAGTGTCTAGTCTAGAAGACTCTTAAAGGCGGGACACGTGGGCCTGCTCCACTGCCCTCCCTGTCACACGTGTTGGACATCTAGTGCCATGCAGAGTCAAGCTGCCCTGTCATAGGGAGTTGTGCAGAGGTGGAGTGTGAGCAAAGAAGGGTTGCTTCAGAGGGTGGCAGGACCGGACCACCACAAGGGAGTTAGTGGCTGGGTAGCTATTGCAGCTAATCCTGCTGGCATTGGGTGGGTATCCTGGTTCAATTCTGCTACTGTAGGAAAACAGCAGGCAGAAAACATCTTAAGGGAGAAGGGAGTTTGTTTCATCTTCTAATCCCAGGTAGAGCCCAGCACTGTGTGGAGTCAAAGTAGGCATTCCAAACTACTAGTCACACCCCATCTGCTTTCAGGAGCAGAGGGAGATTAGTGTGCGCACGCTGGCTTGTTTGTGCTCAGCTTGACTCCTCCCCTTGTACAGAGTTCAGGACCCACGGCCTGGAGAATTGTGCTGCCCACAGTGGGCTAAGTTCTTTCTCCCCAACAGATTTGAACAGGCCAGCCCAGTGTAGGCAGTCTCTCATGGAAACTCTGCTCAGGTGACTCTCCTTTGTGTCAAGCTGACAGTTAAAGCCAGTGATCATGATCGATCTCTTACAGGCAGCGATTCAAGCTGAGAAGCAGCCAAGCGTGGTGCACATATTTGTCAGCCTCACAAACTCGAGAGACTGGGGAAGGAGGATTGTAAATTCAGGGCCAGTCTGAGCTAGTGTGAAACTCTTATCTTATAACGTCAGAAATGTAACAAAATCATAAAACTGAGAGGGAAAAATGAGCCTAGAAGGGAGAGTTGAGCATAGACTGCAAGCACCCCTAGGGCATGGCCATGAGGCCTAGCACCTTGCATTTTCTGCCCTCTTTGGGACTAGATTGGGCTGAGCAGGAATGTACAACCTTTTAACACTGAGACATGACATTGTCACCTACAGAGTTCACACGCAAGAACTGTGTAATTGTGTTATAACAAAATCACACACACATACTCTCTTGACACACATCCATTCTCTCTCTCTCTCTCTCTCTCTCTCTCTCTCTCTCTCTCTCACACACACACACACACACACACACACCTTATGCTTTAAGTCAGTTTCTGATTGCATCCATAGCTGTCCTCAGCCACATGCAACTCACAGGCTGCAGGACGGATAAGCCTGCTACAGTGTGTGACTCAGAAGCCAAGCATGTGACTTCATGTCATTCTCTTCACCTCTGACCCTCTTTCCAAGACAATAATAAAGACAGCAGGGTACCTCCTCAAAGGAGCTTGGGTCAGTGAAGTGAGCTAATTCTGCCTCCTTTTCCCCAGGTCCCAGCATAGAGCTTCCTCCCTCCCTCCCCTCCACTTCCCTGATCCTCTTTACACACACACACCTGACCCTGCTGGAGAGAACCAACCCTTCCTCCCCCTCCTGTTTATTTCCAACAGACATTGGGTCAGGCCTATAGCTGACCTGAATCACTTCTGTACAGGGTCACAGAGCCGTGACCCTGCTCCTCGCCATGCTCCCCACCACGCTCCCCACCCCACTCCTCATCCCATTTGCCATCCTGTTCCTCACCCCATCTCTACCCTGGCCTCCACTGTGTTCCCCACCCTTCTTTTCCCTGTGCGCACCTGAAACATTTGCTTCTTCCCTTCCCCACCTGGTTCCATACCCAATAGCAAGTAGGCTCCCAGGCTCTGTTGCTTTGTTCACGTGGCCCCTGCTATGCAGAAGCTCAGGGCACAGAGCCGAGAGTGCCATCATGAGACCCTCTTGGCCCACTGCTCTCCTCACTGCAGCCATGATCACCTGCTCTGCCTGGATGGAGGGGGCGTGAAAGGCCTGGTCATCATCCAGCTCCTCATTGCCATCGAGAAGGCCTCAGGTGTAGCCACCAAGGACCTCTTCGACTGGGTGGCAGGAACCAGCACCGGGGGCATCCTGGCCCTGGCCATTCTGCACAGTGAGCATAGCCTCTGGGGTATGGTGGGGTGGGCAGGTGGGCCATCTGCCCTCATAGGTTGGGGTACAGAGCTAGTTTAGGAGGGTATTATGTCTCGGTGGTCTTCAACCACCTCCACACTCCTGCAAGCCAGAAACCATAGAACCTGCCAGCTTCTGCCAGTTCAAAAGCCTTTGATGAATGGAGTGGGCATTTCTGGGGTAATGAGTGAGTTGCAGGATGCCATAGTCCTGGGCTGTTTAGACAGTCAAAACTCTGGCTGGGAAGAGGCACATGGCACAACCGTGGGAGTACCCAGGCCAGAGTATCCCCTAGACTCTCAGTCCATCACCCCCAGGCCACTAGCCTGCCTCCTTTGATCTAGGTTTGCAGAAGTACAGACATTTGATTAGCTGGAGTTTGCCACATAGGGCCAGCAGCATTGCCATTCAAGTGGCCTGGCATCTGTCTCCTCTGGGGAGTGATTGAGCCTGAGTCCTGGCTTCAGGAGACTCCTGGTGAGACAGCAGTACAGGCATCTGGGCATCTGCTGGGCACTGGGGTGAGGCCATGGGGTCAATCTAGGGACTTTCGGGAATATGGGTGTACCCATCCCAGGGAGCTGTCAGGGGCCATTCCCTGCGGGGCTATGTTTGGAGCTGCGGGGGCTCGGCCATCAGCAGTGGTCTATCAGCAGATGCTTCATTCGGGAGATGATTGTCACCCTGGCTCTGTGGGGTGAGCGCAGAGGGACTCTGATGACCATGATGTCACGCTGCACATCAGACAAGAACCAGGGCTGGCTTTGAGGAGTCAGCCCAGCTCTCCCGAGTCCCTCCTGGCCTGTGAGAGGAGAGCTACCTCAGAACCTGCTCTATCCATAGTACATGGCGTCTTCTTCCTGCAGAACAGGCAGAGGTCCCAGCCCAGCCTCAGATGGGAAGACCTGAGGCTGGAGTGAGAAGCATCCAGTTAGCCTCAGACAGGCACAGTCCTGCTTCAGCAGCCTCTCTGCTTGCATACCCTGGGCTCTAAGGAGCTTGTAAGATGCCTGGGCACCTCCTTTCCCATAGCCTCTCTGGCCCACAGACTCAGAAGACAGCCTGTTCCTCCTTCACTGTGACAGGGAAATGGGACTAACTTCTGTGTAATTTTGTATCCTCGAGGCCCTTTTTAGTAATACAGATTTAAGTAGCGAGCCCTGTAAGGGGCTTTCTGCTTGTATGGCCAGGTTTTATAGAAGGGCCTAGAAGTTCATGCTCCATGAGCCCTTTGACAGATTTCCTCCTTCACCACCTCCTGCCAGCACCTGTCCATGCTTCCTGAAGCTTGTAGCTGCTTAGCATGCTGTCATCCCACAGGGGCCTGCACATCATCCTAGGGTCTCCAACTCCTCATGTTTTCTTCCTAGGTAAGTCCATGGCCTATATGCGTGGTGTGTACTTCCGAATGAAGGACGAGGTGTTTCGGGGCTCACGGCCCTATGAGTCTGGGCCCCTGGAAGAGTTCCTGAAACGGGAGTTTGGGGAACATACCAAGATGACAGATGTCAAAAAACCCAAGTAAGCCATGTTCCCCACCTGCCCAAATCTGGGGAACAGGACAGCACTTCATCCCATCTAGATGAGAGACCCCTGAGAACATGGGGAGACTGTCTTCATGAATGGAGAGGAGAGGAACCAGGAGGGTCAGAGCTGGGTGGCCTGGAGAGAGCAGGGCTTGCTTCCTCCAAGCCAACTGGACCACTTGGCAGACGTAATGAACTCCTTAACCTTTCGTGGGATATTGTCACACTAGACTGTGCTTGTTCCCTGACCCGTCACGTGGCATCTCTGCTGGACCAGCTCGGCAGTGCCCATGGAGGGGAAGGAGGAGGGCCACCCCAGGGCAGCTGGAAGAGAAGTAAGCTAAACAGCAGGCAGGGAAGCTGCTAAAGAGGCCCCAGAAGAGCCTGCAGCGTGCCGCGGCTCTGAAGACAGGCCTGCAGCAGGGCCCATATCCTTGGCCAGGCTATGAGCTTAAAAAGGCAGGAACATGGCAGCCTTGTCCTCTGCAGCCCTGGCCTCTAGCACAGACAGGCCGTTGGACAGTGTCTGTCAACCTGCTGAGTGACTAGGGGCAAGAGAGAGGAGGGAGCTGCCTGGAGGAAATGGAGCGTGAGCAAGGCCCAGCAGCTTAGGGTTGTTTTTTTCCAGCAGGAGGGTTGTTTCTTCCTTCTTTCTTTTTAGCTTTTTGAGACAGGCTCTAGTTGTATGGCTTTGGCTGTGAGCTATTGTCTAGATTAATGACTGATACGAAGGGGCACAGTCCACTGTGGGCAGTGCCATCCCTGGGAAGGTGGCACTCAGTTGGATGAGAAAGCAGGCTGAGCAAGTCAGCAAGCCGTGCCTAGCTTCCCTGAGAGCTATAACCTGAAATTACCCTGTCCTCCACGGTGTTTCTCACAGTTTCTGTCATCTTAACTGAGACATGTAGTAGATTCAGTTCTGAAGTTCACTGTTCAAGTTTGAAGACCTATCTAAGTATGAGAGGGGAACCCTGGAGTCCCCCCACGATTAGATTTTTAGGGCCTATGTGGTATTTTATGTATTTTAGCGTTTGTTTTATGAAATTAGGGACTCTAATATTTGGCACATAGTTGCCGTCTGTTGTCTCCCTTGGAGGCAGTCGGTCTCCTCTGTGTAGATTCTGCCCGTTGCTTGCCTGCTCCGTGTTAGGATACAGACATGGATTCTTCTGTTATGTCCGTGTGGTCTCTGCCAGGGTTTGCCCTGGCATCTTTCAGGTTTTGGAATCCTGAGTCATCACTTTAACTTTTTTTTTAAAAAGGTTTATTTATTATGTATACCTCCATGTATGCCCGCACACCAGAAGAGGGCACCAGATATCATTACAGATGGTTGTGAGCCACCATGTGGTTGCTGGGAATTGAACTCAGAACCTCTGGAAGAGCAGTCAGTGCTCTTAACCTCTGAGTTTTTTTTGTTTTGTTTTGTTTTTTTCAAGACAGGGTTTCTCTGTAGCTTTGGAGCCTGTCCTGGAACTAGCTCTTGTAGAGCAGGCTGGCCTTGAACTCACAGAGATCCTCGTGCCTCTGCCTCCCGAGTGCTGGGATTAAAGGCATGCACCACCACCGCCCAGCTCATCACTTTAACTTTTGTCTCGGCTAGCTCATTACTCCCCCCCCCCCCCCGCCCGCCCGTCTTTCTCCTTGTGTGTTTTTCCTCTGTAAATTAGGTTAAGCTCGTATTAAATGCATACTTATCGCCTCTAGATCTTTTAACTTCTCTTGCATTTTCTTTTTTAAATTTTTAACATTTATTTTAGAGAGACACAGAGAGAGAGACAGAGAAAGAATGAGAACGTGAACATAGAGGTCAGAGGACAAGTTTAGGATTGTTTCCTTCCAGCGGGTTGGTCTCAGGTTGTCGGGACTTGCAGCCAGCTGAGCCAGCTAATCAGCCAGCCCTCTCTTAAATTTTCTACCTTCTTTCTCCCCCTTTTTTCTTTTTTCTTCTTTTGAGACAGGATTCACTATATAACTCTGGCTTTCCTGGCAGGCTGGCCTCAAACTCACAGAGATCCACCTGCTTCTGCCTTCCAAGTGCTGGGACTAAAGGTGTGTGCCACTGTGCCCACCTTCTACCATTTGATCTCTTTGTGGTGCAGTCTGGTTAGTTTCTTACCTGTTTTCCAGTCCACTGATTCTCACTGTTGCTCTGTTATTTAACCTATCTGCTGATTTTTTTTTTAAAAAGTTCATGTATGTGTACATATGGGTGTGCATCCCCCACCAAAAAAAAAAAAAAGCACTCTCTCTTTGGTCTTCAAAGTCATTACCTGTAATCTCCTGTCCCCCCAAAATATCACGAGGCTTGCTCTGCAGTCCCTGCTCAGTGACAGAGTGCTTGCTTAGTGTGCTCCCAGCATTGCAGGGCAACAGAGATGTTAGGACGCCTGCATTTGTTGTTTGCTGTTTTGCACACAGCAGCACTGTGGTCCGTTGCAGCCCGTGCATGTGTTTTGCGGTCACTAGTCTGCCTTGACTCAGTGGCTGTCTTCCATCACTGAGCTCTGTTCCCAGCTCTCATGGTGACCTCTCCTGTGTGCCCTCCCTGCTGGGATGTTTCCTGTCTGCACTGCTTCTTAATGTGAAAATCAGATTCTTTGAAACTCAGAGTGGCCCTCCCTGCAGAGGGTTTTGTGCCATCTCCTAGGTATGCAGGCTTGCCACCATCGCTGCCACTTTCACTGACTGGGTGGTTGTCATGGGAACTCTGACTTTCCCCAGGTGATGTGAACACAAACTAGGAGTTCACAGACAGGCTAGAAAGAGTCTCCCATTAGACCTCACCTTTGGTGGACTTTGGCCCTTGTGTATTCATCTTGTCAGGGGTCCTATCCTTTTAAGCAAAATTTATCTTTTCATTGTGAATGTGGACATATCCCCATGTGTGTGGGTGCCCTCAGAGGCCATGGATTCCCTGGCGCTGGAGTTACAGGTGATTACGAGCCTCCTGACATGGTTACTGAGAACCAAACTTGGGTCCTCTGTAAAAGCAGGAGGTACACTAAACCACCCAGCTGTTGTCAGCTCCTCTCCGGCTTTTACGACTAAAATCAGGGGCTGGGGGGATGACTCAGTGGTGAAGAGCACTGGCCGTTCTTCCAGAGGACCGGGTTCAAGTCCTGTCCTTCACTGACACACGTATGCTGCTATTGCAGTTAGATCAACTCTGTGACAGAGTACAGAGGGCGGCTAGCTGCCGTGGTGCTGAGAGCAGCCAATGAATGTCCTCTCCAGGGAGGGGACTGGAGCTCACAGAACCAGGCCTCTGCAAGGATCTGAACACACCCTAGTTTCCCAGAGCCTGTGCCCGGGCTTTTTATGTCCCAGGGTTAGGAGGAACCTTCCTTTCTGTTGTTAGTTTATGTGGGTGAATGTTTTTCCTGCATGTGTGCCTGTGCACTACATACATGCATGGTGCCTGCAGAGCCCAGCAGAGAGCCTCAGATCCCCTGGCCTAAAGTTATAGATGGTCATGAGCCATCCTGTGGGTTCTGGGCCCTGAACTCAGGCCTCTGAAAGAGCAGCAGGTGCTCGTAATTGCTGAGCTGTCTCTCCAGCCCCAGCATGCAGCCTGCTCACTGCTCTCAGCGGCCTTTCAGTGCGGGCTTCTACCCAGCTGAGTAGTTACACTGTTGCCTTGTTTTTAAACCGCTGGCAGCACGCTGAAGGCTCTGCCCCAAGCCTTGCTTTTCCTTACCTCCCCTCTATCTTGGCATTCATGCCTCCCAGTAAGTCCCATCTTGGGTGTTCTTTAGTGGCCCTGCACTCGGCCACCACTCTTGGAGTAAGGAGTCGCAGCATTATGGCAGCTGGCTTGCCGATGGACAATGATATTCCTGGTCATCTATTTTAAACCAGATGCTGCCATTGGTTCTGAGCAGCCTGTCTGCTGCCCTGGCGACCTTCTGGGGTGGGTGAGTTTCCAGAGTGGGCTTATTGGATAGAGTGAAACACCCGTGAGTAAGGCAGGCGCCATTGGCCAGATTCCCTCTTAAACCGCCCCAGGTTCACAGGAGATGCCAGGGAGAAGCGCACTACGAACAGGGTCCAGGGCATGACCCTGGAGAGGAGCTGATGGGCGGCTGGGCCAGCTCTCCTCTGTTGCTCCCTACAGGGTGATGCTGACGGGGACACTATCTGACCGACAGCCAGCGGAGCTCCACCTATTCCGGAATTATGACGCACCAGAGGCCACTCGGGAACCTCGCTTCAACCGAAACATTAACCTGAAGCCACCGACTCAGCCTGCAGGTCAGAGCCAACTGTTTGCTGTGTCCATGGGAAGAGCTAGCTGAGGCTGGAAGGGGGTGGGGAGTCACAAACGGGGCACTGGATGCCCTCCCACCCACATCGCCATCTTGGCTGGCTAAGGACAGCTGTTGCTGGAGGCTGTTAGGAGCGAAGAGGCCCCTGGAAGTCCATAGTGACAAACAACTGCTCATCGGGATGGCAAGACCCAGCAGCAAGGCCTTATGGGTCCTGTTTCTAAAGACTTCCAAGTTCCCCTCTTCCTGTACTGAAGGGACAGGTCTTATGTCATTGAGTCACCCTCTTTTCCCACACCTAGACCAGCTGGTATGGCGGGCAGCCCGGAGCAGTGGGGCAGCCCCAACCTACTTCCGGCCCAACGGACGCTTCCTGGATGGTGGGCTGCTGGCCAACAACCCCACGCTAGATGCTATGACTGAAATCCATGAGTACAATCAAGATATGATCCGCAAGGTGAGGGCATCACCATATACCGCTGATGAGAACAGGCCGCTTTGATACGCGTCTTTGCCCGTTTACAACATTCAGCAACAGTCATATCTCTCGCTGGGCCTATCTGATGGGCACTGTCCGTGGTAGGAGACTTCTGAGGCCCCATCCACGCTGAGCGCAGAGAAGACTGTGGTCAGGGCTCGCACCTGCTGGGAGTGGGGAGGGCAGTGTACAGCTGCTCGCCTAGCGCTACCCAGCTGGGCACGCTCTTGCCTTGCAGAACTTACATCCTGCTTAGAGACGCCATAAACAGGAGACTCTCCTGAATGTGTCGAAGGCAGGAGGAGGAGGGGGCCTGTGTGGGAGAACTGAGGTCTGGGACAGGGCTCCTGAGCGTGGAACCTGTCCTGAGGCAATGAGCCAAGGGCAGGCAGTGGCCCTCAACCAAGTCATGAGAGCAAGGTAACAAGGCCTGTGCGCCAGGGGAAGTGGAGCAGCGCTGTGGGGAGCTGGCCCTGCCCCATTCCTCACTTCCACTCGTAGCAGTGCCTGTGTGAGTGCCCTGGGCACTTGGGATGCCATCGCTGTGCGGTGCTGGAGAGGCACCGAAGTCCAGCACAGCCCTGGAGCACCGAGATGCACCCTTGGCCTCGGAGATGGCGGGTTCCTCAAGGAGTTCAGGCAGTCTCCGATTTGTCCAGTCAAAGTCAGGGTCTATTAAGGATGGGGAGCTGGGGTCCCTGAGTGGGAAGGAATTCCATCAAGGTCACCCAGCAAACTGGCAGCAGAGCTGGTTGAGCAAGTACAGGGCCGCCTCTAGTCAGAGCTTCAGCACCCACTCCCCACCACATGCCCCGCAGGCCTCTTCTGTTTTGAAGGTGTGGCCGTCATGCTCACACCAGCTCACACCAGGGAGCAGCTGTAGGGCTGTTCAGGATTCGAGTCTGGGCCTACTCCTGTTCACAGCCTTGTCTCTGCCCCTCACAGCCTTGTACCCAGCCTTGGCCTCTCTCTGGCCTGTGAAAGTTTCCTTACTACCTTTGTCCTCCTCACCACAGGGCCAGGGCAACAAGGTGAAGAAGCTCTCCATTGTTGTCTCTCTGGGGACAGGAAGGTCCCCTCAAGTGCCTGTAACCTGTGTAGATGTCTTCCGCCCCAGCAACCCCTGGGAACTGGCCAAGACTGTTTTTGGAGCCAAGGAACTGGGCAAGATGGTGGTGGACTGTGTGAGTTGGTACCCTTCCCCAGACCCTTTCCCTCAGGGTCCACCTCTGGCCAATGCCCCCACACACTGCCATGTCCGTCCCTGTCAGCCGGCTCTGGGGGACAGCCTGACCAGGTCCCACTGGGGTTTCACATGTCCTTTGACTGTAGCTCTCTGTCTGTACGCAGCTGGGTGGAAGACCAGATACACAGGGAGGGGATGGTGGGCTCTTTGTCACCGCCCTCACTGCCACTCAGAGATCCTGAACAGATTCCGCACAGTTAGGCCAGTCACTGAGGCCCAGAGAAGTGGACCTGTTCAGATCACTCTGCTGATGAATGAGTAGAACCCAGGGATCTCGGAGGGTGGGTAGCAGGGTGTTGTGGCCCGGGCTTATGGGGCCTGCTTTCCTCAGTGTACAGATCCAGACGGTCGGGCTGTGGACCGGGCCCGGGCCTGGTGCGAGATGGTTGGCATCCAGTACTTCAGGTAAGCTTTGGGTCTGACCTGACTCCTCCCAGGCCTGGCGAGCCCCACCCACCCCCATGTCGCCAACAGAGGTCCTTGCCCACCATCACGTGATGAGACTCACTGACACACTTAACTGCCAGCTCTTGATGTGGTCTCTCCCAGCTTCAGGGCAGTGCTCTGTTCCCCAGCCCCTCCCCAGCCCAAGTTCTTGTCCCCACCCAGGCTGGGCATGCTGGGTGACCCTCTCCTTTCTCCCAACAGACTGAACCCCCAGCTAGGAACAGACATCATGTTGGATGAGGTCAGTGATGCGGTGCTGGTCAATGCTCTCTGGGAGACGGAGGTCTACATCTATGAGCACCGGGAGGAGTTCCAGAAGCTTGTCCAGCTGTTGCTGTCGCCCTGAGCCCCCAGGCCCTACTGGCAGGGGTGGGCCAGGTCACCCAGCACACTGAGGACCAAGCTGGGCCAGGCAGCTCCGTGTCCACCTGAGGACTGGGGCTCAGAGCGCAAACAGTTCCCCACAAGGCACTTCTCCTGACCCACCTGCACTTTGCCACTCTGAAAGCCCAGAGTCCCCTCAGCCCTCTTACCAAACTGTGAAGGCCAACTGGCTCTCTCAACTGCCCTACATTTCAGTGAGAGCAACACTAAGGTGCCCAGTGTGCCCAGAGAGTTCTCCCAGGTTCCCTGGCCACGGCAGCCCACCCCTTCCTCCCTCTTCCTGAAGTCAGGGACTAGAGAAATGGGGTTCCACCCCATCATCAGGTGAAATCCAGGCTATTGAAATCCAACCCCATTTGACTTTGCCCCTCTACACCTGCCAGCCACCCCACCCCTGCAACCACCCCACCTTAAGAGCCCTGCCAGCTCCCAAAGGTCAATTCTGTGCACACACTCTTCTCTGGAAGGAGAGTGGGCAGGGGTTCAAGGCCACCTCAACTGTGAAATAAACGGGTTTAGAATCAAGTTCACCTGTGTAGTGTGTGCTGTAGTAGTGTACTGCGTCCCAACCCCGCTTCCTCAGACACGACCGGGACACCCTCTTCTCTGGCCCTGATATAACTGACAATGGAGTGGGCAGTCAGTGCCCGACCCATCAGCCCAGGGAAGCTTATGGGAACCTCATCTGAGGCGTGGCAAGGGCAGAAGGTCTGCCCACATGCTGGGTAGTGAGAGAAGAGGGCCGCACTCTGCCCCAGCTCTGTGGGACTCGGGTTCATGTCATCCTTGCTCTGACATTAGGAGGCGGGGAATTAGGGCTGGGGAGGGAACTCAGAGGTGAAGTACTTGCCCGGCATATATGAGGCCGTGGGTTCCATCCCCAGCACTGGGGGCAGGGGTGCTAAGTGGTCAGGGTCCCCCTCAAGGCGTCGGGTCCCAAGCAGAGATGAGGCCTGTCAGAGCAGTAAGTCCTCCACGTGGGTTTATCTCCAGGATGCCCCAGCTTGCTCCAGCAGGAAGGTCCATGTTCCAGACCTATATGGTGGGCAGGGCTATATAAGGACTGAGGAAGGCCTGGGGGCTCCCAGGCACAGGGCCTTGAGTAGGAGGTGACCTGGGAAAGTGGCTCATCCACGCATGCCCACCAGTACACGCCCAGACGGTAAATAATTGAAGGGCCGGTCACAGGAGCCGCCTGCGTCATAGGATGCCTTCCCCACAGGGTCTGGTTACGCCCCAGATCGCATTGACACCCCCTGGCTGGTGAATAATTAAGCAGCCACCCCCTTCCAGACAGGACTCCATCTGCAGGCCCCGCTCAACAGCTTCCTTGCGGCCTGCTGCCTGAGAAGCAGAGCACTGGGGACCTGTGGAGACTTACCCCAGCACTCCCAGCCCTGCGAGAACCACCGGCCTCCTCAGTTCCAGCGCCACCTTCCATGGCCCCTGAAATGGACCAGTTCTACAGGTCCACTATGGCCATCTACAAGGTGAGCTCATGGGCCATGACCAGCATGTAGCAGCCAGGTTGGCTCCAGGACAGAGGGAGCCCCAGGTGTGGGAGTGGAGGGGAGTCTTTGGGAATTGTATGCAGCACCCTTCCCCATACATGCCTTGCACACCCTCACCTGGGAGGCAGCAAGTAGCCAGCCTATTGGATAGATGAGAAACCGAGCCTACAGAGGTTAAACGCTTGTTTAAGGTCAGCAAGGGAAGAGGAGGCGCTGCTGGGATTGGAGTCAGGACCTAAATTGGAAGTGTCAGGATTGCCTTCACTGTCCAGTGTTCTCCAGCTGGCCACAGCCCAGGGTGGTGACACAACCACACTGTGGACCCCAGGGGTCTCTTTGCACAAGGCGATATGCGGGATGATATCAGCAGCCCCAGGAATCTATTCTGGTGAGGCCTGGGCACAGGACAGGCTGCAATATGCCACCAGAATCTATTCTGGTGGCAGCAGATTGCTGGGCTTCATTCAGCCAGTGAGACCAAGACAACTCTGAGGTTCTTCATGTCAGGAGGGAGCAAGCCTCTCCGGGGCAGGTGTGTGGCAGAAGCTCTCTGCCAGGGGCTCCTGGCTTGGGTCTGGCTCCCCAAAGATGCCTCCGAGACTCTGTAGGAGGGAGCCAGGATTCTGGTGACCTCAGAGGTCAAGGCGGGCTTCACAGGGCTAGGTGCCTCTGTCCATCTATTTCTTTCCACCATGGCCTGCATCCTTTCCCCCCCGGTCCAGAGCATCATGGAGCAGTTTAACCCTGCACTGGAGAACCTGGTGTACCTGGGCAACAACTACCTCCGTGCCTTCCACGGTGAGTGTCTGCCCTGGCGCTCAGCCCCTGCCATCACTGGGGCAGCAGCCCACAGCTTAGCACTCCTTCCTAAGTGCTGGGCTCACCCTCAGCCCTAGGTCCCACAACCCACCCGTGTCCCAGACACTCTGAGACACTTTCCACACAGCCCACTCCTCACTAGGTTCCCTGCCCTTAGCTTTACAGTACAACTACCCACACCTTCGTGAGCACACAGGTTCCTGCGGCCCTCCCACGAGACCCACGGGGACGGTCTTCCTCTGCCGCAGGCACCTACCCAAGGGTACCTTCCCCCATTCCGCCATATCTCAGTGTCCCCCTGCACAATCAGGAGCACAGACTGAGCACTGGCCTGACCTTTCACCTCTCCTGCAGCTCTGTCCGAGGCAGCTGAGGTGTATTTCAACGCCATCCAGAAGATTGGGGAGCAGGCCCTGCAGAGCTCCACATCACAGATTCTGGGTGAGGTTCTGTCCTCTTCACCCCCCACCCCCAGCCTCTGCCTACTGTCGCAGCCCAGCTCTTTCCCTATGGCTTTATTTGTTTGTTTGTTTGTTTGTTTTTTTTTTTGAGACAGGTTTGAACAGACAGAGTAGCCCTGGCTGTTCTGGAACTCCCTTTGTAGACCAGGCTGACCTAGAGATGCACCTGCCTCTGCCTCCCGAGTTCTGGGATTAAAGGCGTGCTGGCCTGGCTTGCCTGTGTTCTTATTGTCTCCTCAGGTCTAGGGCGTATGTGGCCCATGCTCTGGGGTTCATTAGGGCCTCCTTCTGCACATGTGCCTTCCTAGAAGCCCCCACCTCAGCACAGGCCTGTGGCCAGTGCTGGGAGTCCCATCTCTCATGTTTGCACCCCACTTCTTCCCTTACCCTCCTTATAGATCAGAGTTACCAAGTCTTGAGTCAGATCCATGTGTGAAATCCTTGGACTTTGGTCCCCAGTCCAGCCAGAAGTGTTCTGACTGGCTTCTGGCACGAGGAAGGCAGATGGAGCAGGCTCTCCACACTAAAGACAGCCCCTCTTGCCTCCAGGTGAGATCTTGGTTCAGATGTCGGATGCTCAGCGGCACTTGAACTCGGACCTGGAGGTGGTGGTGAGTATCAGGCCCCAGGGCCAGCATCGCTCTAGCAGATGGGCGTCAGCTCAAGAATGAGGCCCAGAGGCTGAGGAGATAGGCACTGCGAGTGGTAAAATGCTTGCTGTGCAAACCTGAGGGCCTTGGGTCAGGTCCTAGCACCTTGTAAAGGTCCAAGCATGGTGGCACGCCTGTAATCTCGGCAGGGGGACGAAGACCGGAGGATCCTGGGACTCGCTAACCAGACAGATAGTCTGTGAGTCAGTGAGCTGTAAATAAGTGAGAAACCCTTTCTTGAAAAAAGCTAAGGTGGCCATGGAGGAAGTGACGCCTGCCACTCACATGCACATGTGCCCCCCACATATGGACACATACAATCCCACACATGCCTATGCCAGAGAGAGAGAGCACCGGCCCGCTCTCAGACCTCCGACTAGGGTTCACTTCTTAGACTCTGCTGGCCCTTGACAGTATGAAGACAAGTTGGCCTGGTCGAGCCTCAGCAAATCAGCTGCCACCGCCTTTTCTGTCCCATTTTTTTCGAGGAGCTGAGTCTCAGGGTCTAAGGGGCACTGCCCCCTGTTCCAGAATGAGTGGAGGAGCTGAGAAGAGAAAGGCCTGCAGCACCAGGCCCAGGACATAGCCCTTCCCCACCACGGCTCCCCTTTCCAACTCCCTGTAGCAGCCATGGGGATCTGAACATGCTGCTCCATTGTCTTGGGGAGCAAATCCAAGTGCCTTGGCAAAGACCTCAGGCCTGACACACCCAGCAGCGCCGTCCACTCCCGAGTCCCAGCCCTGCAGTCTGGGACAGGTGCCCCTTCCCCCAGCAGGTTCCGTGCACCCTTTCTTCCTGATGCCAACAGATGCTTCTGTTTGCTCCTAGCCACATGAGAGTGAACGCAGGAAACTAGTTCAGGCTCAGAGCCCGGCTCCACCACTTACTGGGTTTGGTACCCTTGGACTCTGGACCTCAATTTACCTACCTTAAAAAAAAAATGGAAATAATCACATTTCCTGGTAGTGCTCCCTAGTGGGGGTAGAATGAATCAATAAATTGAAGCTGTTTACTACGGCTAGGGTTATAGCTCGGTTAGAGTAGAGCGCTTGCTTAGCACAGGTGAAACCCCGGGTTTGATCCCAGCACACCATAAAATGGGCATGGTGGTGTAGACCTAGAACCCCAGTATTTATGAAGCAGAGGCAGAGGGACCAGAAATTCAAAGTTACACCCAGCTGCATAGTGTGAGACCTTGTCTTAAGAAACCATTTTCCTGGCAGGGTGAGCCCTGGGTTCTTGAGCTGGTCTATGGGCTAATGAGACCTTAATTTGTCTATGCCTGCTCCTGTCAGCTACAGGATCAGCAAAGGCAGGGGTCTTCTTTCTTTGTAGCTCCAGGTCCTGTGGCCTCTAGGTAGGGTTCCCCCGATGTGGAAGGAGACTGAACTGTGGGAAGGGAGTGGAGCGTGCTATTGGAGGAGAGATGGGAAGATTCCCAGAGGGCACAGGGGCAGAAAGAAGCAGACCAGAGTCTGGAAGCTGGGCAGAGTGGAAAGTGGGCATACCATGATGGTGAAGAGGCCTTGGAAGACTCAGAAGGGTATTTCGACCGACAGTTCCTGGTTTCTAACTTGTGGGGGCCTGGATGTTAGGGTACCCTTTGGGGCTCTGTTTGACACAGAAACCAGTTTTCCTAGTGGAAAATGCCTAAGGTACTATGGCGCCAGGACTTCACAGACACTTGGTAGCATAGCACTAAGTCCCCAGCACATGCTTAGACTTGTCCTTGGTTATAGAACTTGGCTCTCTATGTCCCTGTGGTTCACCTGGGCTGCACAAGTGTCACCCAGACCCACTCTGTAAGGAGAGCTGCCTCTCCAGGCACCAACATCTTGGCTGTGACAACTGGGTAGGGCCCCCAGCCAGAACCACACCAAGCAGGTTGTCCCTTTGGTTCTCCATTCCCTACGGATCCTGGGCACTGTTTGTTGGAGGTGGCTGGGATACAGACAGAAATCTCGCCCTCCCACAGCGAGGCAAGACCAAAAGGACAGCCAGGGACCGTATGTGCTCCACAGTAAACTCAAACCTTGCAGTGGAGAAAAGGAGTACAGGGCAGGGAGCGTTTGGGAGGATTGCA